TTACCTTGAGTATTTTGTGATCTTTGACCGTTTACTCTTGGGCTTTTTGGACGCCTTAATTTACCTTATTTTTTGCTCTCCGTGAATGGAGCCATTTTTTTTGCTGAAAATTTTGATATTATCATTAAATATAGTTCTCTATCTATCTATGGTTTAGGTGAGGGGATATTGACCCTCATTGTGTAACATCCACCTGACCGCTAACGGAACTCATCGGTCCCACTCTGCCTTGGGCCCCGAAAGAGGCCCTGATAGCTGTAACACCTGGTACTAGGCAGATAGTATTGTCAGGCCCTCCGTCGAGGCCCGAGGCAGAGCGGGACAGATGATTTCCGTTAGCGGTCAGGTGAACGTTCATAAACGACTACTGCGCAGTGTTCACCTTCAGACGCGAGCTCAAATTGAACCAAGCAAACTCTTAAAAGCCCCATTTGTCCCTACATCAGGACGCAAAACCGATACATGAACGCACCCTAGGATCGCGGCCCTGTTTGTCGAGTAAGCCAATGAGGGTGTGTATGTGGTGGGGAGTGATCACGTTGAGGGCTTCGTCACTGTCGGTCAGGACACAGTGCAGAGCATCGAGGACGCCCTCCGCGAAGCTCTGCTGCAACTCCAGTCGATTAAAGAGCCAGTTGAGGCGGGCAGGAGCAGCAAATTGGGCACAATTCTCGTGGTTTCCACGAATCAGCGCTGCCAGCAGCAAATAGAGGTAATTGCCCAGTTCGCCGAATTGGCTGCCCTTCTCCTCTCCAACGGCCTGCGCGAACTCGCGTCGTGTGCGGAAGGTTCCCGTAAACTTGTCAATCGTCTCTAGTGCCAGGCCAATCATGCCCTCTTCCTAAAAATCAGAAGAAATAACAGGGTTTAAAGTTAGAGTACATCGAATAGTGTCTAGATACATCTCTTTGCCTTTACAGGATGGCTTATTAGTAGATTCTGACATGCACTCACCTGGAACAGGTCCTGGCGGTTTGACAAAGCGGCAAGTTTGGCCTGACGAACTTCATGTTCCTCTGCCAAATCTGGCTGTGCGAAGAATTCTATGAGATCCTCCAGGCATTGGTTGACCTCTTCCATGTTGAGTTGAGGCGGGGATTGTCCACCGTTCATCACACCGGCAGGTGGTGAGCCCCCATAACTGGCAGCGGTCGCGTTTGGTACTGAATTTGCTGAGGCGGAGGCGTTCGCATACCCGTCGAGGGCACGATTGAAGGCCGTCAGGACAGCAGTGCTTCGACGGATAGCTGCAGCTGATGTCGATTCTTCTTCCTGTGCGCGAACTAGACTGAAAACATCGTCCATATGACCTTCGGCGAGGAGGACAGCTTTCTTCTCTTCTACTTTACCGACACCGCGTTTCTTGGTCTCATAAGAGTCGTAGGAGAGCCACCAGCCTGTGGATGCATGCTGTAGGTAGATGAGGGTCTCACCGAGACGGACGTCCGGATCTCCCATTCCTTCCTGTTCTCTGTCCTCCACCTTCTTTTTGTCATCCTTGATAAAAGAAGGAGGAATATGGCTGCTGACCGCGAAGACCGTTGATGTAAACTTAACATGTTTAATCGTGCCTACTTAAACAAATTAGTAGACATTTACTCGTCACAAATAAATACCTTAGTCTGTTTGATGTAGAAGACGCAGGAGTCGTTATTTGCTTCAATGGCAGATAACAGGAAGACGTCAATGTGGCCAGAGCTTGCACCGCCGCTCTGGGGAATGATACCAAGATAGCGTCCCGTCGTTACGTGGCGCAGTCGAACCGCGCAATCCCAGGAGAAGAAGCCTGCACACCATTTGGTCTTCGTATGTTCAATCTGCCAGAGCGATCTGGCGTGGCCACTGACGGAGCCCAGTTGGTACATAACTGACTGGTGGTATCTGACAGAACATATGAAAAAAAATTGCTTGGTAGCGCTGATGCAACCCAGTACTTGTTTTGCTCAATTTCTAGACAATGAGGCAGTGGTGAAACGTTGGAAGCGAACGCGTGCCAGTTTACTCAAAAGTTAACGTGCATGTACATGTCGGAAGGCTAAATAATTAATGACGCTTCAGAAAATGGAGTATGAAAAATGTAGATTACTCGTTCTGAAGTTGTTGGGTCACTGAATTTCCCCCAGGACCTCCATTTCCGGACGAGAGGGTTTGACCCGCACCACTTTCAACAGAGTCGGCTGTCTCTATGGTCAAGCACTCGTCGCCGTGAAAGAGCCGAATGACATCGCCCCCAAACGCCATGTCTAAAAACCAAAAGAGCAAGACATACAGGGGTTACTTCTAGTCATAATTGTGTGTTCACTGACTTAAATTCTAATGCAGAATTTATGCCCATCCTTCTGACAATATACTGTAGATTTCTTACCTGATGAAATGTGGACCGAAATTCTGAAATGGGCTTTCGATTCGAGCAACTTAACTAAGTAGGGGTTGTAATATTGATTAGCATACAACCCGATCTCATGATATTTTAGTCTCAGCAGGGTGCCGACTTTTGAATGAGTACTCTCGCGGCCGCCTGCAAAGAATGCGTTCTGTAAAAAACGGCAAAAGTAGCTTATGTTGTCTCACTCATATACCCCTAGTCCTAGCATTTTGTCCAACGAAAACGGTGGTTATAGGGTCTTGGGGGTGGAGAAGTAGAATTGACAGGGAAGGAAATTCGTAGAAGTGAGTGTAAAGTGAAAAAATATGGTCAAAGTTGTTTCCCGCGGGCGCTGAGAGTCAGTTGTGCCGCATGTAAATTGAAGGTGTGCGCGGCGCTTCGCGCCGCGGACTCTACTAGCCTAACTCCAGAACGGTAAGTTGGACCTCAGGAAAGTTGAAGTAGACGACCTCCTAACTGTCATTTCTATTTTTCGGGAATTTCAAGAAACCTGCAATTTGATGATTGGGTTTTTCCGCAATGCGTTAAACGATAATACAGATTGGGAAAATCTACAGGTATAAATTAACAACACTTCTAAATAAATTAGAACGTATATAGCCGTTATTAAAGTATATTCCACTGTGTGTCTTAATTCCCCACCCATAAAACCCTATAAGCACCGTTTTCGTAGAACAACGTGCAGGGAGTAGCGATTAATGAGGGGGACTACATAAGCTACTAATGCCAAAAAACAATTACGTAAACTCCCTTCTCAAGAAAGTGACGCCACGCCAGCCAACTGCGTCCCCTTCCGCCTCTGGTATTCTTGACATAGTCATTACATCTGGCCCGGGTGGGCAGGAGGACAGGGTACAGTAGATACAGCGCAAGTCTACCCCCACTATAATCTACTTCCTGGGCATGACGCCGTCCCTGCACCACCACCGTGCTGTGGAGCACATAGTGGACCTGGTCGAAACCGTCGAACTATCGTAAAATAAACAGTTGTACTAAACCTGACAGATTTACTCCACAGGACTTTCTTCTTTGCTGAGGATAGGTATCTTGGTCTCATTCAATACTGAACACTCATTTCCTCTTCGACTAAGTCTGCCAACCGGTTTCAATAATAAATTATGAAGTGCTTGTCACTTATCTGTATACCACACCGGCCTGAGGAATTGTCTCGATACCAACACTAGTTTAGGTAGTTTATTTTTTGAAAAGGAGAGTTAGAACACACAGATACACTAGGATTTACTTGCAATATCCATATTTGCGGAAAATCTATTATCTATATGCCGCAGTTAGAGCAGGCTCACAGCATTGACTATGAGGCAGCTTGCTGGATGACCCATCAATTTGGCTTTTTCTATTTTAAGACCCTCCTTAGTACTTGGAGCATATAGGCTAGAAACTGTTGAGAAGATTATTAGTATACTAATTTGAAATCATCTGCCTCGATTCTATCCTTTTTAAATATTCGGCTGACTGTCAGTTGCGAAAACGCTCGAAAACTGTGCACTGAGCAAATGCCGTAGGTACGTTTTGATGCAGCAGTAAAATCTCAAATTTTCGACTAGGTAACCTATCTATGAGGTAGTTGGCTTACCTGGAGTCACTGAAGTTTATACGTTTAAAATGGACGTAAAGCACTTGAATGAACGAAAACACATTCATTTCGAATAGAATTACAGTGGACAACAAAACGGACAAGCGTGGTGATCGGGATCCAAATGGTCAGTCTGGACTGCCTTGCAGTCCTTGGAGTTATTCAATGATACATTGAGCTTACGCAGAACATGTTTCCAGCGAAACAAATTAGGATTAAAATGTTGGATGGACTATCTACCTAAGTTAGCAATAAGATAACTCTCTATGATAACAATCAGTTTAAACCACATCTGCATATTTACACATGCTTCTCGGACGGAAAACATATCAGTCAAATTATTAAGTTGGTTTGGCAGATCTAGTTAATTTAGTTGACCCAATTGTGAAAAAACTCGCGGCAAAAACAAGTAATGCTTGTCAAAATTTCCTTAAATAGTATTAAGCGTGGTCCTTATCTGCGTATACCATATGTGAATGCGTATTTTACTTTCTGAAACACATTTCACAGAGACAACTTCATAGTGGTTCTTGCATTTGAAGTGTATTCACACAGGTATTTTTTCGGACGCTCATCTTCCTCAGTGATAAGGTTCGGTGTTTATGCGAGTCACCAAATACGATCTAACTAGTCACATGCGAAAAAAAGAACCTTCAATAATTCAGTAAACTAATAAAGGCTTCCATACGCCGTTTGCTTTTGAAGGTTTCGATACTGGCCATTTACAGTACACTGTGGTCGTACATAAACATTTTGTAAATGGTATGCTTATGATTGCACCTGTTCACTATATTCCCATATTTAATTACCAACCCGGATCTTAACATAGGGCCTTATGGAAGCTTATAGTTCCGTGGTCTCCTACGCAAGAAATATGCTAAGGTTATTGTACCCGTTCAAACACATATCAAACGATACACAAATGAAGAATTTTGTCTGCTAAACCTGCAGTACATTTTAGAAAACGTCCCTAGTCATCGCGTAGTTGACCGGCTGCCGTATTGCACAATACTTCAATTTTTGGAGACTACTGAGCTCCAGGGTTATCCAAAACGTTTTTCGTAAAGGCTGATTTGCTTTCATCATTTGCCTGCTTTAACTCAAGTTCACTCCGTTTTGCATGAAGTTTAGTAAATACTTAAAATATGTCTGTCCATTTAACACAATTGGACGTTTTTCTTTCCAAAAAAAGATTTAACCAAATAAGTATTATTACCAAGTCCCGGCATAATATTTGCAAATGCTCTACATATATATGCAATTTCACAGCATTTGCTTACCGGTCACAGAGTCTTAAGCAAGGTTTCATCCCACTGAATGAAAACCAGAAATGTCCAACAAACGAACATCTGGCCAAAGTAATGCTGCTTAACGAACTGGTATCGTAGAGTTCGGATAAACGGCCTACGCATAAAGACTAAGCCTTTTACTAAGTATTACTTCTACAACAGTTTGAAAATAACTGCACCTTGTTGTAGGACTGCGCAGAATAAAAGTTGGTCCTACATCGTCAGTGCCTTCTTCGATTATATTTAGGTCATTAGGGGACAGCATGGAATTTGGACTCTTGAAGGCTGTAAGTCATGCTTATTCCTCGTTAGCAGTATCACCTCAACAGCAAATCACATGCCTCTATTGTAAGGTCAAAAAGCGTTAGGAAGGGAAAGTGGACAACATATTGGCCTATGCAGATAGACGAGGAACATACGTAGTGACTTTTGGCGAACAACGCCACTCGAGATCGGAATGACCGTCCATAGTGTCTGCTGGAAGCTGGCAATGACCCCAGACACCGAAAAGGAGTCACCGTAAACGTGCTGAAGCGAAATGCAAAAACAGTTTGTAATGTTAATGACCGTAAGAAGCGTCAGGCGAACATAAATAGATCAATTTCAAAACAAGCAATGTAACGCGTCAGTGACCGTTCTTAGTCAAGATTAGCAGGATTTGACAGAATGAAAAAAACTATTCGTTATGGATTTTCCTTGTTCCCCTTTTCAAGCTTCTGGTAAATTGTGTACAGGAATCACTCCAACCACTGTAGCAATTTCGCTAAATATCTAAATGAGGCGATTTTTATCCTCCAAGTCGCCAAAGGTCACCGCGGTAAATTCCGTTGAGGGGAACTCTCAGTAATATAACCTCATAACGGAAATTTTGCGCTTTGAGACAATATGTTCCAACAGTGTACGGTTTGGGTCGAATAAGCAGTGACAAACCAAACCTGGATTAGTGTAAAATTTAAAAAAATGCGTATAGCCTATCAAGAACACCAATAATAGCCAAGGCAACCCATCACACTTCCCCCGTCACGCAAATCTTACGACGGTAAAAATTTATAGAGGACCAGCTTTGCAGGCGTCAACTTTCGGCAGCCAAAAAAGATGGGTTTTATTCTCGTCAGACAGCCAGGTAAACAGGAGAGAAAGTAACCCTTTCCGCCACTAACCATTTCGCAAGGCGTACCATAGGCCTGAAATGACGGTTTGACTCTGTTGCAGCCCAAAATGTTGAATTCACCGTCGGGGACGGGGGAGTTCTCCGATCATGTTACAGGGCCTATTCATGCCATCTCGCCTTGAGGAACAACCGAGAAACCTTGCACGTCACCTCTGAGACAATTAACGATCCTTTAGTAATGTTTTACTTTTCATTGATTTTGGAAGCATAGTAATTTGTTTAATTGAATGGTTAGCAGAACCGAGTAAGTCGATAACTCGCAATGAGCGGAGTAGGATAACAGCCATAGTTAACCAAAAATACACCCGTAAGGGTCAAGCATACCGCTTATCAAGATAAATCGGCGATAACACGTCTATTTACTCGTTTACCGACCGCTAACAGGACTCACTTGTCCCACTCTGCCTTCGGTCTCATTTCTCGGGCCCAGACAGCATCCGTATCGGCTAGCAGTACTAGACAGATGGTATTGCCAGCGAAGACAAGGGAGACTGGGATGGCCACTTCTGGCTTATTAGCCGTCTTCATCCAGTCTCGCCCAGTCCCGAGTGGCGCACCGTCCGAGGCTCGAACGCGCGACCTTTTGATCAGACTCTAACGCTCTAACTACTGAGCCACGAGCTCGTTGTCTTGCCGGTTTAGGTCGGGAAATGTTGACACCCGTTGATGAGCGTTCACCGACCGCTAACGGAACTCACTTGTCCCGCTCTGCCTAGGGTCTCATTTCTCGGGCCGTGACGAATGTCAATGTCTCCAATCTTATTGACTTTGGTTCGTCATTAGATCACAATGACTGATGGAAAAGAGAGTAGGACGCACGTGTCGTTTTGACTACAATAAACCTCACCAGCAAGCTACAACTGCTCCCTCCCTCCCTTACTGGTGCTGGTCATCCACACTAACAACGAACGAATTATTACGTTTCTGCTCCCCATCGTTGCTTCGTTTTTCGAGCCTCTTTGCCATTTGCCTACGGAATTATCATTGAGATCTGCAATGCCACACGTGAACTTTTCATTCATTAAGACCCGTGCGCATACTTCCGCAAGAGCTGGGCGTAGAGTCGTCCGTACTCGCTGCGGCCTTTCACTTCTGACAACGCGAGTAAATAACTTAAACCATGAAAAGGGATGCCGTATTGACGATGATATGATTGCCCTCACGGGACTCGAGGAAAAACAGTTTCCCTTCGAGTCCAGAAGAGTGATGGGAGATTGCGACATGAACAATAACCAGTCAAATAAACAGTACAGAGGTGATGTAACTAGGCATTCAGGAGTGTCTGTGTATGTGGAGAGGCATTAGTCAACGGACGAAGCACGGTGTCATCTTTCGCCAAAATGCTGATATCAAATACATAATGACTCTAGGCGACAGGGTCTTCTCTCTGACATATGACAGACGTGGTGCGGCCTGCAGGATATCAGTGCCTCGGAGTACCGAGTGGACGCAGCTACCAGCGCCAGCTTACTACCCTTACCTTTTTTTTTATTTCGGAACCGAAATAATGTTACGCATATTAAGATTTCCTAGACAGAAAGGGTTAGTAGCTGGAGTCAGTCCTTATGTTAGGAAGCCTCACTAATGCCCTCGTAAGAGTACGTAGCAGTTTTTCCTGAGCACAATTGACAACTGGACTAGACGAGCAAATGTTAGCGCTTAAATAACTACCCGTTGAAACCCACCAAAGCCTTTGCTTTCTGGTGTACAACGAATCCTATTAGTTTGGGAAAACTCCCTGTGAGTTTTGCGGTCACTCTCCGCCATTATGTTCAGAATAAAAATTGTGACTAATGCTTACTACAATCTTGAAAATTCAGTAATTTCATGCCTAGTTTTATCAGATGCTAATGTCGTATAATAGGCAATACCTAAGCAGAGACTGTCCGTGTTTTCTTAGGTACGCATGAGACATATCTGTGAGGAGCGTGCCAACCCGTTGTTTCTTCACTATAATCGACAAACTGTTGACTTGCGTGTAAAAATTTTGGAGAGCAGTTTCAACCCTGCAATAAGTTCTGATAGCAAAGAATGCATCGACATTATTTGCCGTTAACAATTTGCGACGACCAGCATTTTCCGAGATAAGCATGATAGAACACGAGAATAGGAACGCCCTACCCACTTAACATAGGTGGCCTTGCGATAAATTTCAGGTAGGATAAATATTCCAGTGTTCTAAATCCAACACTAACCCTAACCCTAACGTAAAGCCAAACTGTAGCCTTAATCTTAACCGTAGCTCTATGCTAAACCTAAACTCTACAGCTAACCCGAACCCAAACCTTAACCCCCAAGATAATCGTGACCCTAACCGCAGCTCTGACCTCAACCCTAACCGTAAACTTAATCTTAACCGTCGTCTTAATAATAGACCTTATTTTCTCGGAATGTACCGCAAAGATACGTGTATTGCGAGGTGGCCCCTGTTTCCGTATCCTGTTTAGGCGACCATAAAAGTCAACCTTACCGTTTCCAAACCTCCGATGCATTTTATTTATGACAGGACGTTATGCAATATCAGTCGACTGTTAGGCTTTAGGAAACTAGGTAAGGTGAAAAGAAGATAGCAAACGAGAAACCCCATGGACACACGTGTGTTTGCGTGGGCTCGGGGATGGATAATTGCGTGATCGGCAAACGCAGATGCTGGTGCGTGTAGGCTTGAATTCTTGCGAAAGCGCCAACTAGGCATGACAGTACTTCTAAGAGGTAGACGACAAGGCCAGACGCCCACCTGGCTACGTGCGTGCGCCCGTGGGATATTGATTTTGGTAGATGTGTGCGCGATTGCCCAACTGGAGGACGCACAAATTCCTGCCGATCTTGCGTCCGCGCG